TTTTTTTTTTTCGTATCTGTAATACAGATTTAAACTATTGAATAGAAGTAAAATAAAAAAAAAAAATTCACTAGAAACACCAAAATTTGGCTACAATTACATTGTTTTTAGATATTAAAATATTGTAATGAACAGATGACAATTACATATCAGTTTAAGGCGCTTCTTTTTTTTTTTTTGTTTTTTTCAACTTTTAACAGTGGTATTACAGTTGACTGAAAGAGAACGTATCGAAAATGCAGGCGGTTTTATCGAATTTGATGGAGTGGATCGTGTTCAAGGTGTACTTTCTGTGACCAGGTAAATTGATTATATCTTAGTTTTTGAACTTAATTTGTTGTTTAACATGTATTTTTTTTTTTTTTTTTGTCAATTACGCTAAGGATTGGAATGAGAGAGGTTGTAAAAGTTACAAGATTATAAGGTTTAAAAGAATAGCAAATTAGTTATGGTCAACATACGATACACAGAAAAAAAAAAAATGCATGAAACTTTCACTGACGTTATGAAATTAGTGTTAATATCTGAAACTTTATAAAAGTGTTTACAATGATAATTTTGTTGTTAAAGAAATTTTATCAAAAAAAAAACTCATAAAATATATGTAAAAGTAATTTTTTTTTTTGAAAGACAAGAAATAATATAATGGCGGTTTTTCTTTTTCTTCTGACTTACATATATTTACTGAGTGTTATAATACAAAATTTTCCTTTTTTTTTTTTTCGTTGTTGTTGTCTTTGATATTATAGTTGAGGTGAGATGCTTATCAAAAATTCTTTGTCATTGCTGCTGTTGATGAGCATCTATCTTGATTCTGGTCCACTAGTGTGATTGTTTTCATCATCATCATCATCATCATCATCGTCGTCGTCGTCGTGATCGTCGTCGTCGCCGCTGTAAATGCTCTCGTCGTTGATATTGTAGACCATTTTCAGTGGTTACATTCCAACACAGTGTTCAGGCACATTGGAATCAAAGCAGTCGTTAAGTTAGTATCACAGAAGGAGTTGTAGAAGCCCCGTCAAACCCCTAAATTGTTTAAATTTTTCCACTCATTTTTATTGTTTTTGATAAAGTTTTCAGAAGAGCTTCAAACTATACCCTGTGCTTAACTTTATTTCTTTCACCTTCCTTCTTTTTTTTCACTTTTTTTCTGTTGTTTTTTTTCTTTGTTTACCCATTTTTTTAAGGGACAAAAATTTTTTTT